GTATATATTTGTTCTTTGCTTTGATTGGATTTGACCCCCTCTCCCTTCTCAACCTCCAGGTTCAGCTCAAATGCCAAATTGGCCAGACACAAAATATATCTGAACAAAACAACTCCCCAGTTGAAATGAAAACTCTTTTCAGAATCCGACAATTTAATCTGCATAAAAGGCATGAATTGTTCTCTGATACCTAAGGTGTAAAAAATGCCGTATTTATTTACTTAGTGAGTTTTTGAGACAGAGTCTCACTCTGTCACCCAGGCTAGAGTGCTGTAGCATCAGCCTAGCTCACAGCAACCTCCAACTTCTGGGCTCAAACGATCCTCCTGCCTCAGCCTCCTGAGTAGCTGGGAGTACAGGCATGTGCCACCATGCCCGGCTCATTTTTTCTATTTTTAGTAATTTTAGTGGATATGGGGTCTCGCTCTTGTTCGGGCTTGTCTTGAACTCCTGACCTCAAGCAATCCTCCTACTTTGGCTTCCCAGAATGCTAGGATTCCCATATTTCTTTATTTTTTAATATCAGATGACACTAGCTTTAAGCCCCCATTGGCTGAGGGTCACTGAGACTGCTAATATCTGGCATTTTTTGGGGTGGCTCCTCCTTATCCCTGGGTTTGTACCAGGACTGTGGGGCTTACATTGTCCAGGCCAAACGGAACTGCCCACATCAGCTGCTCTCAGAGGCTTCCACTATAGTGCTCAGCAGTCCATGCAAAAGCAGCTGCCCCTACTGGCTATATCTGTTGCCCCAGAGCCAGGCTGAGCAGTGGGACCTCTCTCATGGCTCTAGAGGCTGAGGGAAAGGTTCTGGTGCTTGGTGCCCGGGCATGCCCATCACCACACTGCAGTCCCAAGGCCTGCCCACTGGGGCTCTGTGTGAGTGGGGACAACAGTGCCTTTCTGGGAACCTGCTCCTCCTTCTCATCTGTAGGGGACTCCAACCTTCCCCTTTAGGAGGAAGTATTCCAGTTCCCCAGAGTTTGCATGCAGGGAGTCTGGAGGACAAATGTGGCCCTCAGATGGGTTTTGTTTGGCCAGTGTGATGTTATTAACATTTAACAAAAACCATAGCAACATTTAAACGTTGTGAGATGTCACATAATTTCTGCAGTCTAGACCCTCAGTTGCTGCGTGTGAACCACTGGCTGGAGCTGAGCAAGGACTGCCCCTCTGGGCAAGTCATGCACTCTGCAGTTGGCCACATCTGTAGCGTTACCTCTGCCTGGACCCTGAAGTCCTTTGAGCTTGAGACCCTGGCCTGGGCTTTTGAAAACAAAGCCTTTTTGATATTGTATCCTGACCTCAAACACACAAAAAAACTGTTAACTCATTCTTGAGGGCAAGGATGTCCCAAACTCAACCATGCCAAGCCCAGCTGCTCTTGGGTGCATGAGGTGGGTGGTGGGGGTATGGGTAGAGGGTAACAGCAGTAGAGAAAATTACTTGTTCATTCTCTGCCAGTGACTCTAGCAGCAAATAAGCAAGGCATGGACTGAACTCTCCATAACTCATACATATTTATTTAGCACTGATTTAATTCAGCCAGCCTCATGGTGTGTCATTTTTAACAATGATATTAATAGCTAACGTTCACTGGATCCTTACCAGGTTCCCAGTCCCGGGTAAAATACCTTATAAATACTATCTTGTTGAATTCTTTAGAAATTGCTCCGAATCAAATGGCTCAGCGGCCAGGAGGAGGGGGTGGGGGTGAACAAGGGAAACAGTAGCTGATGATGCAGCTCAAAGGCAGAAGGGAGGTAGGTGCAAGCCCGAGGGTCGGAGAAGCGGCCCAGACTCTGGCCCCAGGGCTCTCCGACAGGCCCCAGGTGTGTGGAGGACTCAGTCGGTCCCGTGGAGGCCACGGCACCCGGCTGTTTCTCTCCCTCTGGTTCGCTCCACCGCTATTTCTGGCTCGTCTGTCTCCTCGATCTCGGTCCCCCCAGGCCGCTGCCTCTCAATCTGCACTCATCCCTGGCCTCTCCCCGCTCGCATCTGCAGCGATTCCCCCACCTGGCGCGCGCCCCGCAGCCACGTGACCCGCGCGTAAACCGCAGGACTCTTCCCACCTACGCCCCCCGCCTGGCAGCCAGCACCCGGCTCTGCAGAGGCTGCAGGCCGCGCATGCGCAGCTCCGGGCGCACCTGCGCGCCGGCCGGCTCTGGCTGTAGGCCAGCCCTGCGCATCCTAGGGCAGCGCTGGGCCCCGGCGGCGGGCAGTGGACCTGTCTGGGCCCAAAGTCCCAAGGGGTTCGGGTTGTCATTGCTGATACGCTCCCAACGAGCCGGCCACACAGCCAAAGCCTCTCCTTAGGTCAAGGCACTGGGGCTGTGCCCTGGGCGCAGGACGTTCTCCCCTGGGCATCAGGAAGTCAGAGCGTGAGTCTCAGGTCAGCGCTTAGAGCCATGTGATCTTGGACAAGTGACCTCCTTGTGCCCCAGGAAAATGGGGATAATAATAGCATCCACCTGACAGGGCTGTAGTGAGAATCCAGTGAAAATTCATGAGAGCTCTTTGCCTCGTGTCTGGCGTGTATCAAATTCTCAGTAAATGCAAATAAGGAACATAGCAAAGGGTACCATGTGATGGCTGAGGGAGGATTTCACCCTTTTGTGTAGGTCATCCCACTGGCTCCTCAGAGTCAGGCTATTGGAGAGGCCTGGAGGTTTTATTTGTCCCTGTTTCACAAATGGGGGAAACCAAGGCTCAGAGATGTTAAGAGATCTCCAACCAAGTCTTGGATCCATATCCAGGGTGATTCCAACGCGACACTCCAGAGTCAGGGGTTCCTAGGTAAGTTTCACAGTCTGTCTCCCACTTGCTCTTTCAACCATCCCATTTAACATTCTTCTGATTTTTGCCATCCCCAGTGAACATCTCAGGTACACGTCTGCAGGAAAGGATTTCTTTTTTGGGCCTTCCTTCTGCAGAAAATAAGAAGCTGCTATATTTTATTTGCTGTGACCTTTGAGGAGGTCCCTACACATAGATCCCAGGCCACTCAGAAGTCCTGGAGCCCTGCAGCAAATCCTACCCCTGAGGGGTCCTCCCTCCCACCCCACTCAGCAGGCTTCCTCCTCCCTAGTCACACTGGCTGCTCTCTATTCCTGGAAGAGCCAAACTTCTTTCTGCCGCCGAGTCTTTGCACTTACTGAATATCTGCCTAGACACTTTCTCAGTCCCCTCTTGCCAGCTTTTTACTCATCTCAGGAGGCCTGCTCTGACTGTATCCCAGCTGGTCCCCTGGGCCAGGTGCTCCGTTATCCACTCTCACAACCACCTCGGTGTCTGCTTCGGCACTTGTCAGATCAGTAACTCAACGTGTGTGTGACTCCTTGCGTCCTCTCTGTCTCCTCAGCTAGATACCAGCTTCTTGAGGTCAGTTGTCTCCGTCTTACAGCACTTAATAAACCCTTGTCGACCCACTGACTATATGAATGATAAAAGGAGCCCTTGGCCATCCCTACCCTTTAGCCACTAAGGAATTTTCCAGCTTCTAATTTATATTTTCATGGCAGATGCAGAAGCCATGGAATCTCTGCTGACATGTGCCAGCTGGTGAAGGAGGGAGCATGTGGCATCACGAGTGCACCCTAGATACCCCCGCCCGTTGACACATTATCTCCTCCTGTTCCAAATGCACCCAGAGCCTATCAATATGTTTCCCAGGCAAAAGGCAGGACTGAGACATGAAGAGATGACACATTAACTCTTTCTCTCTCTGTGAAGACATATGAAGATTCTATTGGGGTAGATCAGGGTAGGGGTCAGAAGATGGTCAAATCATGTGGCCTCTCGTCCTGGGTCAGCCATCATCCGATGCTGTGACTTTGGAAAATTCCTCCTTAGTCCTCAGCTTCTTTTCTTGTTGCTCAGTATAAACTAATGGTTCAGAATTCAGATTCTAGAATTGGATCTTTCCTTTGTCACTAACAAAGCACTTATTGTCTCTGAATCTCAATTTCCTCATCTGTACATTATTACATTTCTTAATATGAAGAAAAGAACTGAGCTCATAGAGCTGTTCCAGACATTTATGAGTATTCATTGATTTTATTACTACTAGCTCTCCTGTCCTTTGTGATTTTTAATTTGATCAACTTGCTTGTTTTTCTCTGACACCAAAAGCAAGCCCTGCCCCCTATTTCAAAAGCAACACCTCCCATCAACAGAGTCTGGTGAAAACTGACCTGGGACCACTTTGGTAAATGTGGACTCCAGGAAGGAGATACCGAGATCAGAGTTGGTTCCACAGTATATTCCTATCAGATTTGGGACGTAGAAACTGCTAGACTCTGAGCACCCCAAGACTAGGATCAGAATCTGTCTTGTACACAGTTATAGCTCCAGTGCCCAGAATAACGGCTTACCGGTAGTAGTGGGAGAATAATAAATAGTAGCTAATGAATGGTACACGGCCTGCCACAAGTCTAGTGCTTTTTCCAGTATCTCTGAGCCTCAGTTTTTTCATCTGAAAATGAAGATTAAAACCAATACCCAGTTATTGCGAGGATGGCACGGAGCTAGAGGCGCAGTGAGAGCTCGGTGAATGGTAGGTCTATGGATCCAGGTACCTGGAGAGATAAGAGATGGTGTCGAATATACCCCAGGTTACGCTGTGGCTGGGGGTGGATACTACTAGGGAGAGATCTAGCCTGCGAGCTCCTTCTGTGGGCAGGGGAAAAAAGGAAGGCTCCCAGGAAGAGGAAAGACGGGACCAGAGCGGGGTTTCAGGAAGACAGAGCTTGTCAGCAGCCTGTGGCCAGGGACTCGAGTGTTGAGCCGGCAACTGAGGGGACTTTAGGACCCTGCGCCCGGACGCGCGCGGCGCCTGAGGTGAGGAGGAGGGAGAGGCACCGGCACCAGCCAGGGAACGCCTCGCGCCCGGCCGCATCCCAGAGGGCGGGGCCGAGCCCCCGGGCCACAGTGCGATTGGCGGAGGCGCGCGGGTGACGCTGACGACTGGCGCGAGGCCCCGCCCCCCGTGAGGCCCCGCCCCCGCGCGCGCCGGGGGCTGGCAGCCTCGCTCTGGCTCGCTCCGCGCCCCCGCGCCGAGTCCGCGCGTCAGTCGGTCCCGAGCGCGGCGGCGGGGAGGCGAGCTGCAGCCAGCCGAGCGCGCCGACCTGAGGAGGCGGCGGTGTCCGCGGGCGTCGCGTGAGGAGGGTCGGAGCCCGAAGACTCGCGCAGCGCCATGGCCCCCATTGGCCTCAAAGCCGTGGTCGGGGAGAGTAAGTGCGGTGGGGGTCCCTCCCTGAGGCGGGGGCTGCGGCTGCCCAGGCGAGCCCGGCGCGGTACCTGCCCGCAGCGCCCCGGCCTCCACGGCTGGCTGTTCGCCCCCTTCCCTCGGCCGGAGGCCCCTGGCCTGCAGGGTCCCGTTATTCAGGCGCCGCCCTCCCTGGAGGGAAGTACCTCCTGGCTGCCCGGCTCACTCCCCTCGGCTATCCGCTTCCCGCGTGCCCTTTTCCCCCATTCCTCACCTTTCACCCCTCCCCTCATCCCGCCCCTCCTGCTTCAGCCCCTGTCTTCCTCCATCGCCATCCCTCCATTCCCTTTTTACCTCCATCCCCTTTCACGTCCATCACTCACTCCATCCCTCCCTCCTCCTCTCCCCCGTTTCTCTCTCCTGCTCCATCCCTCCCGCTTCACCCCATCCCCCAATCCCTCTTCCTCCCCCTCTACCTCCGGCACCCCGTCCCCGCCCCTTCACGCCGCCTTTACCCCCTGCAGCCATCTCCCTTCCCTGCACCCCCGTTCTTCTGCACCCTGGTTGCCTTCGCCCCCATTTCCCCTCTCCCCTCCCGTGCCGTCTTTATTCCCTGAGCTCCCTTATTCCACTCCTTTTTCCGTCTCCAGCCCCTCCTTCCTTCCCACCCTCCTTCGTGAATCGTGACGAGCGAAATCCCGGCCGCGTCCTCCTCCCCTGCCCTCCCCGCGCGGGGCGCCGAGCCGCGGTCCGGGCTGCGGAGACCTACCTAGGAGCGGCCGGGCGCGCTCGTCCGGGGCGGAGACGCCTGTTTTCCTGAGGCTTAGCTCTGTGGGGCTGAGGCCGCCTCACCCCTCCCCTTCCCGGGGCTCGGCTTCAAGGGCGGGGTCTCATCAGGGTCCTGAGCCCTCTTGGATCGCTCGGGAGACGAGGGAAGCCAGGGTGTCAGCTGGCCGGGCGGCCCTGCCCGGCACCGCAGTCTGCAGTCTCGCTGTTTGCAGGACTCAGCCCGCCGGGCGGACCGCTTCGGGCGGCTCAGACCGCTGCTGCGGGGAGGAAACGGTTGTTTATGGGTTTGGATGAAAGGCATAACATGAATGGATTTTAAAAAATGGGTGATGGCGGCTGTTGGCGGCCAAGTGAGGGCTGATGTTGGGGAGTATTTGGAAAACAGCTTCCTCAGTTCTAAAGAAGATTGGTGACATGTGGTGAAAAATAGTGCCTCTTTAATATTTTGGCTGTTTCTTTATAACAAAACATGTGTAAGGATTGCTGTGGCTTTTGTTACCTCTTTTGGGATTAAGAGAAAATTAAAACTGGGCTCATCTCTGTAGGAGAGGATAAGAAAGGAAAAAGAATAAAAATGGTGGAAATTTACAGTTTCCTTTCCAATGATTCTTTCCGATTATAGTCTCTCATTCTCTGTTTGCTGTCAATGCTTTTGGTTGTGCAGAGTATTATTTTGAGCATCAGAATTGTTTTGTTTCTCCTTCCCATTCTTTTCTTTGATACATAGGAAATATTCCTACTGAGGAGTCTTTTTGTACTACTTTACCTGACCTATTGCATCAGAAGAAAAATTATTGTCAAAACTGAACTCCAAATAAATAATTTTTTATACCCTTCTCCCCAGATAAATAATTTTTAAAAAGTGCTCACCTGCATTACCCATTGCTGGAAAAGCCACAGACAACAGTCCCTACACATTTTTTATTATAAAGAAATAGCCAAAATATTGAAGAGGCACTGTTTTTCTCCATATCATTGATTTTTTTTTTTTTTAAAGTGAGGAAGCTGTTTTCCACATATTACCCAACATCATCCCTCACTCTGCTGCAGCCAGCACCCACCATCACCCGTTTTTTAAACTCCATTCATGTTATTATGCCTTTCATCCAAACCCATAGACAACCATTTCCTCCCTGCAGTAAAGGTTGGGATACTTGTACCCTCTATTTTCTAACGAGATCAAAGTGTTTAGAGCTGGGAGGACCCACAGAGATCCTCTAATGTCAGCACCCTCATTTTACCCCTGGGAAACAAGTATAGACTTGGAGCAGTTCAGTGACTTGCCAAAGTCAGTGTTAATTAATATTTTAAAACCTGATGTCCATTTCTTTGCAAGACTAGGAAAAAAAACCAACTTTCTTCATTGTTCTATGTATACCATTTCTTTCTAATACCCTTTTAAAGGGTTTTGAAATATGAAATGGCATGTTACATGTTACATTCTTTAAAATGTTATATTTAAATACTACACATTGAAGATCAAACCCTCAAGTGTTAAAGAAATCAAATTTTTACGTCCTTTTGTCAGGACCCTTATTCATGCAGGTGGCTCCTTTTTTCATTTTTTTTTTTTTGGAGACAGAGTCTCGCTCTGTTGCCCGTGCTAGAGTGCGTAGAGTGCAGTGGCGTCAGCCTAGCTCACAGCAACCTCAAACTCCTGGGCTCAAGCGATCCTTCTTCCTCAGCCTCCCAAGTAGCTGGGACTACAGGCATGCGCCACCTTGCCCGGCTAATTTTTTCTATGTAGTTTTAGTTGTCCAGCTAATTTGTTTGTATTTTTAGTAGAGATGGGGTCTCGCTCTTGCTCAGGCTGGTCTCGAACTCCTGAGCTCAAACGATCCTCCCACCTTGGCCTCCCAGAGTGCTACGGCCCCCAGGTGGCTCCCTAATCCCCTTTTCCTACCTGTTCTAGAAGCAGGCATAAAGGTTTAAAAAAAAATTAATATGCAATATGGCCAAATGTATTTTCTGAACTAAAGCAAAGCCACTGTATAGAAAAATAAAACCAAACTGATTTTACATAAAATTGGTGAATTTTCTATTCCTATAACATTGAGTTAGGTATAAATTTTGGGAGAAAATATCACTGCAGTCCTTGTCAGTGACACAGATCAATTCTGGCTCCTAATTTTGGATGGAGTTTCTAGCTTTGCCTTTTTCTTTACAAAATAAAAGTAAAGATGTTTTTTAACCTCTCTGCACCAGTTTATATGTCACCTTTACAACTGGTCTTCCCAATCTGAATTAACAACCCATAGTCACTGTTTATCATATTTTTTCATGATAAATGAAAATGTTTATTTTCTTCTTATCGATTAAAAGTATCTGAAATGATCTTGTTTTTATTTTATTTTTTTCTTTTAAGGTGGTGAAGAGTGAAATGATCTTGTTCAGTTTCTTTTTCTTTTCTTTTTCTCTTTTTGGTAGTTGATTGTTTCATCCATTTGAATGTTACTTCCATGAGAGCAGGGTGTTTGTCTGATGTGGTCTGGTGCTAAGAACAGTGGCTGGCTCATAGTCCCCATAATAAATATATGTTGAATGAATGAATATTACTAAGGATATGAAGGACAACAAGATAAATGTAGTTTTTCGCTCCTTATCCTTTCTGTGTTGAGTTTATTAAGTGGTGAGTAGCTACAGGTACAACAAAAGAAGAGGAGGTAGGTTAACTTTAGCTGTTCATTCAACAAACATTTGTTCAGAGCCTGCTAGGAACTATAAGGATACAGAGATAAGTAAAACATGGGACCACTTTCATGCTGTTGTGACAAACACAGACAGTTAGGGGAAGTTTTCCCTGTCACTTCTCTGACATACTTAGGGTGTACTCAGTGTATTGCACTTACTTGTGCTGGTCTTGCCCATCTAGATTACAAGTTTCTTCAGGGGAGATTAGGACCTTGTTATATTCACATGTCTGTCTTCAGTGCGTGAATTAGTGCCTGGCACTCCGTTAATGTTACACGAATGAAAAGTATAAAGTATAAAAATTAAGAGGAAGGGCTCTGGAATTAGACTACCTGGGATAAAAATCTGACTCATTACTTACTAGTTGTGTGACTTTGGCAGTTAATCGTATCTTTTTGTGCCTCAGTGTCTTGATCTGCAAAATGGGTAGTAATAGCACCTATCTTGTGGAGTTTTATGAGTATTAAATGAGGTGATGCAGATATAGCATTTAGCTCTGTTCTTGGCACATAATAAATTAGGTAAATATTATCATTATGAAAAGATCCATAGAGGTCAGTAAAAGTGTTAGGGGATTTGGCAAAGAGAGAGACTTCCTCTGTCTCTTGAAGCCATGGTTTTGGGGGAGAAAGTGGAGTCTTGGATAAAGTTCTTGAAGAAGGTACAGCTGAATTGGAAAATAGAAGAATCGAATTGAAGAATATATGGACAAATTTGTAACCAGACCTCAACTTGTTTCCAGTTCTACTTATTTCTTTACTTTTGACTCTGATATTGTTTTCCTCTATAAAATGCAGTTTTCTGCTCTCTACGTTGCAAGGAGGTTGTAAGAGAAAGGAGAATTGCATTTTTTCCTGGCAACTGTATATGCTAATATCTGATATTTCTATCATGTAAATCCATATTGTAGTCCAGCATTTACCCCATTCACTGAAGTTTTGTCAATGTGTTACAAAGATGTAACAATTCCAAGATGTACTATGTTTTTCTTATTTCCTAGCCCTTACCAATTTCTCTTCATGTTCTTTTATAAGAATCACATTCTTTTAGAAAAGAATGCAGTTTTGTTTTGTTTTGTTTTGTTTTTTTGAGAGAGAGTCTTGCTCTGTTGCCCAGGCTAGAGTGCCATGGCATCAACCTAGCTCACAGCAACCTCAAACTCCTGGGCTCAAGCGATCCTCCTGCCTCAGCCTCCCGAGTAGCTGGGACTACAGGCATGCGCCACCATGCCTGGCTAATTTTTTCTATATATTTTTAGTTGTCCAGATAATTTATTTCTATTTTTAGTAGAAATGGGGTCTCACTCTTGCTCAGGCTGTCCCGAGCTCCTGACCTTGAGCCTCCCAGAGTGCTAGGATTACAGGCATGAGCCACCACACCTGGCCAAAAATGCAGTTTTAATTTGTGAGTTAAATACATACCTTTGTCAGATGGGGCCATGATTCATAGATTGTGTCAGAAGTTGAGAGGTCACCTAGATTGAAGCAATCTTCATTCTTCGTTCTTTTTTTTTTTTTTTGAGACAGAGACTTATTCTGTTGTCCA